TAGAGTTCTCCTCCAACCTTGGTGATTTTCTGATTCTCTGGCCTTACCTTTCATGGACATTGTGATGTTAAATAGCATTATGAAAGCCTTGCTGTGTTCACAAAAACAAAGCCCAGTGCTGCTTGTATGAAATTCACTCTGTGCCTTTGGACAAGATAAGAGTTTTGCAGTCAGAGCTGCAACTTTAGTGAGTGTGGTGTGAGATGACATAGGAGTTATTTCTGCAGCCTTGTTTACATCTCTGTTTTCCCATTCCAGTACGAACAGCTTTACTAGCCATTATTGGATTCATGCCCACCAAAGGCGAAGGAGCAATAGGATCTCTAGATTACACACCAGAAGAAAGAAGAGCTCTTGCAAAGAAGTAAGCACTGAGTTTGTTTCTGTAGTACATATATGTATACACTCTTTTTTAGGGTAATGCATTGAGTAGAAAGTAAACTGCTTCAGCCTGTTGTCTTGCATTTATTCCAAATGTTAAAAGAAGTTGTATGGCTAATATTTGTAGGTTTTTTCTTTGTACATTGTGGAAACTTGGAGCCTAGAATCAAACAAAACCCTTTGACAAGGCTGTGTTCTTTCCAGCACAGTGTGATCACATTAGGGGTTTGTCTGAACTTCAGGCTTGGAGATGCAGTTAACATTGTGAGACAGTAGTACTTGGGGCATGGAGGGAAAATGAGTGTGATGGAATTGATGATTACTATAAGTGAGGGAGAAAACAACCAAAACTGTCATATGTCATTGCCCTGAAGTAAATAAGAACAATAAAACTGTGACAGCAGCTGCTTCTGAATGATTTTAGGGAATGAAATGTGTGACTGTGATGAAATGCTTAGTGGACAGGGGGAAAGCAGTGGATGTTGTTTATAGGGACTTTAGCAAGGCTTCTGGTGTTATCTCCCTTGTCATCCTCAGTTGTGAAGAACAGCTTAGGTAAGTGAGGACACTAAGGTGGATTAAGAACTGGCTCAGAGGATTGAGGTGACAACGCCAAATCCAGCTGCAGGCTGGTCACTTCTGGTCTGCTCCAGAGGTCAGCACTGCGGCCAGGGCTGTTCAGTGTCACTGGCTGCTGGGACACAGTGTACCCTCAGCAGATTTGCAGGTGGTACAAAACTGGGAGGAGTTGCTGATACACCAGAAGGTTGTGCTGCCATCCAGAGGAGCCTTTATGGACTGGAGGAATGTCATCACGTTCAGCAAAGTCCCTCCCCTGGGGAGGAATAATGCCAGCTGACTAGCTGGGAAGGAGCTTGAAGGGGAGGAGCTGGAGGTCCTGGTGGACACCAAGCTGATCATGAGGCAGCAGTGTGCCCTTGCAGCGAGTGCTATCCGGGGTTGCCTGAGAAAGAGCATTGCCAGCAGGTCGAGGGAAGTGATCCCTTCTCTGTACCCCACACTGGTGAGAGATCAGGAGTGCTGGGTCCAGTCAGGGCTGTGAACAGGTCAGGGTACAAGAAAGATAAGAACTTACTGGAGCAAGTGCCACAAAGGTGACTGGGGAGCTGGGACATGTTTGATACAAGAAGAGACTAAAAGATCTAGGAGTGCTCAGCCTGGAGAAGAGAAGGTTCAGGGGATCATATCCAAGTGTACTAACCCCTGAAAGGAAGGTGTAAAGATAACAGTCAGGCTCTTCTCAGTGACATCCAGTAACAGGACAAGAGGCAGTGGTGGGCACAACTGAAACCCACAAAATTCAGTTTGAGTGCCACCTTCAGTTTTACTGTGAAGATGGCCAAAGCAGCAGCACAGGTTGCCCAGAGAGGTTGTGAAGTCTCTCTCCTTGCAGGTGTTAAAAGTGTGACTGTGAACAGATGTAAGCAACACGCTGTGCTTGACCCTGCTCTGAGCAAGGAGACTGAACTGAATGGTCTCCAGAGGACCCTCCCAACCTCAGCTGTGCTGTGATTATCCTTGTGTGAAATCTTAGAGGTGTGAGGCTTTTTTGGGGCTTTCTCTTTTCCCCATATGGGAAGGAGAACCCCAGAATCAGTTGGGTTGGAAGGGACCACAGTGGGTC